AAAAAAAAAAAGGGAACGACGCACTTCAAAGCTGATTTATTGTTTTTGAAACTTACAAAGAAGTCTTTTTGTTAATTTATGTCAAAGATACTACTAAATGTTTCTAAACCTTGACATTAGATTGTCTCATAAATTCATGGAAAAGTAATGATCTTTCTATTTCAGAATTTCAACTATCAATTGGAACACTTACCATTTTTATGCACCATTTGCCGAACATTGACGATGGTCTCAACAGTCACCAAATTTACATATCCTCATTTGCTATAGCAAAGACTAATGATGATATTTTTTTATATTGCAGTATTTGTTATTGTTGTTATAATTTTGTTTCTTATAATTGATAGTGCTTTTAATGTAACCACTAATAGTTATGCAAATGGTAATTAGCTTATATTTTTGAGCTAAATGCTTTGTTTGAAAAGATTCTTGCCGTGATTCCGGTGTAAAACGTAGTTGCCCGCTGAATACAGATAATAAACAAGAAAAAAAAAGAGGAAAAAATTAGAGGAAAAATAAAAGACGAAGAAAATTGGTTTGAGGTTTTTTTTTTCCTTTTTGCAAGTGATATGTGTTTTTAGATAAGGGCGTTACAAGAGCATGAAAATAGATATTATTAATGCTTGTTTAACTCAGATTATTTGCACAATTGGTGGTCACTAATTTAGCTTTGATAATTGTTATTTAACGGGTCACCTTAACTAATGAACAAAACAGACCAGATGTCTGGGGTGATTGCGGGACGCTGTATCAGGGCGCCGAATATCTGTTGCAAAAGAAGTGTATAAATATTTTACAGGAATATTATTTTACAGCAAATAAATTCAGAATTTCTTCAGTAACATAAAATCAAACAACAGTGAATATAAAACAAATCTGTATGGAAAAAGAAAAACAGACCTAAATTATGTGACCTTATTGTTGTTGTTGCTGTTGTTGTTTCCTGGCAATTATTGTTCATTATATCCAACCAAATAAATCTATGGATTTTTAGCTAAGTAACACTAATGCAAATCAAAAACTTTCTTTTTCTTTTTTGAGAGGGAGGGAAGAAGTGAAGAAAAGGAAGCTTGACGCCATCAGTGGTTTATATATGTCAATTTCACTAGGGAATGGCAATCCTCCCCTCCCGCTTGTTCATTATACCCCGTTTCCTACGTCTATTTGGTGGACTGCATGAAAAGCTGCTATCCGCGCAAGTATTCTTAGCATTGACCAAAATTAGATGTCAGTAATGCAAGAACAATATTTGTTGATCAATTTAATTAGATTTTTTAATTTTTTTCTTTTTGATAATGTTGGTTTATAAAAAAATTTTTTTTGTTTTATTGTTTATCAAACCTTTTTAAAAAGCCAAATTGCAGCAATGAAAAGTTAATGCTGCAAATAAAACAGTCGGTAATAAACAAACTAATTGATCCAAAAATTTAATTATAAATAACAATTTGAAAAAGACAAATAAAAGAAATTTGTAAAGACAACAAATTTATATTATAAGTATTGTTAAGACTAAAAATTGTAGCCCAAAATTATGATACAAAACTTTTGCCACACATAACGTTTAATATCTTTTTATCAATCAAACTAATTCCTTTTCTTTTTTTCTTTTTAAAACTGTTTCGCTCTTTCTTTAGCAAAACTATCTGAATCTAATGCCCAGTATTAGTTCAAGTAACTGTGTAGATAGTTCACTAATAGAAATAATAGTGGAAACAAAAAAAAAAAAGAAAAAAAATAGTATATTGCCGACCGGTAGGCTTCCTGTGACAGTTTTGGTAGCATTGGCAATGGCAATTTTTGAACCATTCATTGTTGTTATTTGTTTGCCAAGTGAACAAACTTTTATAATCTTCTGGTCAACAATAGAAGTTTTTGCACCACTAGAAAAAAAAACTTTTTTTTTATCTCGGCGACATTGAAAAACTGATAAAAGTGATAAATTTTTGATGTTTGAGAGGAAAAAAGAACAAGCATAACGCATAAAAAATATAAGCAAAATTAATGCACCAATAAATTGACCCAATTTTGCCTTCTTTTTTCCCTCATCTTCAGGCTTTTATATTTAATTTTAATAATGAAAAAAATCTATTCTTCTTTTTTCTGATAACTTTAAAAAGATTTCTATCTATAGAATTATAGCTGAAATACTGAACAACAAATTCGGTGGTACAGCAATAGATTTCACCAAATACATTCGTTGAGATCCAAAAAAAAAGCAAATGAATCTTACAGAAATGTAAAATTTTCTTGGAAATTGACATTAATTAACTTTTTCTAGTTTTTTTCAGGTTTTAATAAGCATATCGTCGATATTTTTGTCGGATCAAGCGGTTCAGTTTTTACAATTACCGATATCGCTGTGGTTCTGATTCAGTTTCTCGCGGCTATAAAACCGGCTTAGAAAGCCTAACAAGTGTTGTTAAGGAAAAATCTTAGCCTTGATCAATCGAAATAAAATATAAGCATTTTATCAGCTTATTTTGTGTGTCTCTTTATTTTTTATTTTTTTGCTCTTCTAAAAAAATCTGCCTGTATTATTATTTATCAAGAAAATGTTTATGTACACAGTCTTTTCTTCTCTTTTTCTTGGTTTTTTGAGAAATTTATTTAAATAT